CTGCTATAAACATTGGGGTGCACGTACCCCTTCGGATCCCTACTTTTGTATCTTTGGGGTAAATACCCATCCTACTGGGTATTTTAAAAACCAATTTTGTTACATTCAATATATACAGTAAAATGCACCCATTTAAAATGTAGAGATCAATGAGTTTTGACAGATGTATACACCCATGTCATCCCCATCTCAATCAAGATATAGAACAGTTCCATCAACCCAGAAAGTTCCTCATGCCCCCTCTATGTCCCAGGCAACCACTGATCTGACTTCTAATCACTACAAATTACTTATGCTGATTCTAGAACTTTGCATAAATGGAATTATATGATATTCTTTTTTTTTATTTTGTCTACAATACCCACGTTTCAACTGGGTTTATCATAATCATCATCATTATTATTGAAGTATAGTTGACATACAGTGTTATATTAGTTTTGGGTATACCATATAGTGATTTGACAGTTCTATGCATTACTCAAGGCTCACCATGGTAAGTGTAGTTACCATACAATGTGATTATAATATTATTGACTATATTCCCTGTGCTGTACTTTTCATCTCCATGACTTATTTCACAACTGGAATTTTGTACCTCTTAATCCCTTTCACCTATTTTGCCCACCTCGCCACCCCCCTCCCTTCTGGCAACCACCAGTTTGTCTCTGTATTTATGAGTCTCTTTCTGTTTTGTTTGTTTATTTGGTTTGTTTTTTTAGAATCCATATATAAGTGAAATAATATAGTATTTGTCTTTCTCTGACTTATTTTACTTAGTATAATAGGTCTTTCCTAGGTCTTTCCATGTTGTTGCAAATAGTAAGATTTCATTCTTTTTTTTACAGCTGAGTAATCTTCCATTGTATCTTCTTTATCCTTTCATCTATCGGTGGACACTTGGGCTGTTTTTATATCTTGGCTATTGTAAATAATGCTGCAATAAACATAGGGGAGGATGTATCTTTTCAAATTAGTGTTTTTGTTTCCTTTGGGTAAATACCCAATAGTGGAATTACTGGATCACATGGTATTTCTATTTTTAATTTTTTGAGGAACCGCCCTACTGTTTTCCACAGTAGTTGCACCAATTTATATTCCCACCAACAGTGCACAAGTGTTCCCTTTTTTACACACCTTCACCAACACTTGTTATTTCTTGTTTTTTTTGTTTTTTTGTTTTTTGATACTAGCTGTTCTGATTGGTATGGGAGGATATCTCACTGTGGTTTTGATTTGCATTTCCCTCATGATTAGTTGATGTTGAGCATCTTTTCATGCATCTGTTGGCCTTCTACATGTCTTTGGAGAAATGTCTATTCAGGCACTCTACCCATTAAAAAAATTTTTTTTTAAGATTTTATTTATTTGTTTGACAGAGAGAGACACAGTGAGAGAGGGAACACAAGCAGGGGGAGTGGGAGAGGGAGAAGCAGGCTTCCCGCTGACCAGGGATCCCGATGCGGGGCTCGATCCCAGGACCCTGGGATCATAACCTGAGCCGAAGGCAGACGCTTAATGACTGAGCCACCCAGGCACCCCTACTCTACCCATTTTTAATTGGATTATGTGTGTGTGTGTGTGTTTGTGTGTGTTGAATTGTGTAAGTTCTTTATATGTTTTGGATATTAAGCCCTTATTAGATACATGATTTGCAAATATCTTCTCCCATTCACTAAGTTGCCTTTTTCTTTTGTTGGTGGTTTACTTTGCTGGGAAAAAGCTTTTTATTTTGGTGTAGTCCTAATGTTTATTTTTGCTTTTGTTTCTCTTGCCTGAGGAGACATTTCCATACATTGCTAAGGCCGATGTCCAAGAGATTACTGCCTATGTTTTCTTTTAGGAGTTTTATGGTTTCAGGTCCTACATTTACATTTTTAATCCATTTTGGGTTTGTTTTGGTGCTTGGTGTAATAAAGTGCTCCAATTTCATTCTTTTGCATGTGGCTGTCCAGTTTTCCCAGCACCATTTATTGAAGAGACTGTATTATCCCCATTGTATATTCTTGCCTCCTTTGTCATAGATTAATTGACCGTATAAGAATGAGCTTATTTCTGGGCTCTCGATCCTGTTCCACTGATCTACGTATTTTTTGTGTGTGTGCCAGTCCCATACTGTTTTTATGACTACAACTTTGTAGTTTATCTAGAAGTCTGAGATTATGATACTTCCAGCTTTGCTCTTCTTTTTCAAGATCTTTTTTGCTATTTGGGGTCTTCTGTGGTTCCATACAAATTTTAGGAATATTTGTTCTAGTTCTATGAAAAATGTTATTGGTATTTTGATTAAAATTGCATTGAATCTGTAGATTGCTCTGGGAAGTATGGACATTTTAACAGTATTAATTCTTCCAATCCATGACCATGAAACATCTTTCCATTTGTGTCATCTTCAATTTCTTTCATCATTGTCTTATAGTTTTCAAAATATAGGTCTTTTACCTCCTTAGTTATATTTAGTCCTAGGTACTCTTTTTGGTGCGTCTACTCGGTTTTGAAGCCAGAGAGAGGGTTACACAAGCAGAGGAAGTGTGAGGGTATTGCAGGGGTGGAGATTTGTATAAAAGAGCAGAGTGTGCTTAAAACATCAGAATTAGTTTGGTGTGACCCAAGCATGCAGTCTGAGGGGGCAGTGGCAGGAGAGGAGCCTGTTTACAATATTGAATTTTACCTGATCCCTGTACTCCTGAAAAAAGTGATGGTTTTTCAACACCCTCCCTCCACTCTTCTGTGCTCCAGAAAGGGTTTACTGCAAAGAAATATCCATTCCTGTATGACTTAGGTTAAGACTCATGGATACCTTTCTTGTTTACATGTGACAAGGCAAGACAGTCCTTCTGAATTGCTCTTCTTTGCCTTCTAAATGTTTAGCTGAACTACTTGTATTCACTGATCAATCCAAACAAAATGCTTTGTTAACCAACTTTAGTTAAGCTTCCCCCATACCCTCCAAGCCCCTTATTTTTTACTTACCCTCAGCCTGAGCCACCATTCAGCCCCTGCAGAGAATAGACTGACCTCAAGGTAAAACATTTTCTGACGTACTACTATCCAATCAAGCCACCCTTTCCTCCCACTTTCCCACACCCAGTTCTTTCTAGGCTTCTTCACTCTTCCCTATTAAGGAAAAATTCTTTTTGCCTAACCCTTAGACACTTCCAGATCTTTTAGTCAGAGTGGTCCCTCTATTGCAATAGTCCCTTCCCTTCCCTTTTTCTCCCCCCTTGCAACAATCCTTTCAAATAAAGTAATCTCCTCACTAAGTCTGGATTTGTTTTCTTATTTGGCAGAGTCAAACATGCTTCCATTAGAATCTTACCCCAAAAGCTCTGTAACCTTCAGCAAGCCACTTAACTTTTCCTGGTCTCTGCTCCTTTATGTGCAAAATGGGGATAATATGACATCTATGTTCAGGACCTTTGTGGTGATTAGAAAATATGAAACCCTGAAAACACAGCAGATAACAGTAGTAATTACTCTTTTTATTATGACTCTATTGAGCTACATCTGAGTCACTTTCATTCCTTATGAATGAATGGCCTTATATGTCACATTAATTTTATACTCACTATTGTGTCTTCAATATCTGACCAATGCTTGGCACATAGTATATGCACGATAAATGACTTGGAAGGAGTAACTTTATCCCATTGACAGCGGGGAGCTATGAGAATAATATCTGGTCTAGAAAGAACAGGTTAATTACTGACGACTTTCATGAACTTTTACCTATTAAAATTCTCCTTTGTCTCCACACCTGCCTCTTTAATGACACTTAGGATACGTTTAATGCTGCCTCTTCTGGAAAATGGAAATGATCATAATTCCCGTCATGCTCTGAAATCGAAAGAGAGAAAGTGGAGCAGTTTTTTCAAAGCATGACAGGCATATAACACATTTCCACAGCTGATAAACCGGCTTGCTCGGCTCTCACCAGGGGGCCTCGCCCACCTCCTGACGCTCCACCTTCCTTGCAACTCAAGTTCCTCCCACTCAGCCCGGTGCTAGGGGCTCATATACCAGGTTGGCCCGCGCCTCCGTGTGCGCATGCGCACCACTGACCTGGGCAGGCGGGTGGGCGGGGCCATATTGCGTCATCGGGGCGCGCGCTGCGGACTACGCCGTGGTTGCCGGAAGTTGAGCGGCGGTAAGTGAACCGCGCTGGTGAGGGAGTAGCGGGGTCCTCCGGGCTGGGTTTTGGAGGCCTGGCGGGAAGGGTCGAGCTCGGTAGTGAGGGCGAGAGCCTTGGTGGATTTCAGGATCCTCTCTCCTCCAGGGAGTCACTGACTCCGGCTTTCACCCTCCTTCTCCAGCCATGTCCCCTGGGACTGGTTCAGTCCGGGGTCCTGACTAGAAAGCTCCTAATGTCCTAAGTCAGTCCCTCCTGTCGTCTGTCAGGGAGTCCTCTGAATCTTCGGTGTTGGAATACCGGGGATAGGACGTCAGGGCTCTTAATCCTGGTTTTGCCCGGATTTGCTGTGTGACTCGGGCATGTCACCTCTTTCTGAACTTGTCTTCCCTCATCTGTAAAATGGGAGTGATAAATAACGTCATTTGTGAAGCGAGGGCGTTAAATGAAGTCAGTTTTTTGTCAGGGCTTTTCTGAGCTAAGATTCTCGATTCTTCAGTTTGATCCAGGGGTTACAAACTTTAATGCTTATTCAGTCAGGTAAGGTAAATGTAGGTGTAAAAATTTTATTTCCATGTCAGAAATAGTCAGACGTTTTTGCTTGAGTTTTATGAGCACAATACTAACATATATGAAGTTGGAGAAATGAAAGCAAAACTCTTGTGTTGCACTCGTGTAATCTCTTGATTTTAAACACTGACGACTACAATTTTTTCAAAACCAATTTAAGAAAAAATGTTTTTTAACTTTGCAACTCAAACCAGGCATATCTGTGACTGCCCGTTTCAGACCCCTGGGACCCAGGTTCCCTTTCCAATTGAATACTTGGATTTCTTTTATGACACCCCGGCCCATGGGTTAAATTTCTTAAGTGGCAGAAAACTCGCTATTTCTGGTTATTGTTGTTTGGTCTTTCCCTAGCTTTGACTTAAGTCATATGTTGAGCTGAAAGCAGCTACCCCATAATCTCAGCTCATTGTCCCTCCTTCAGGCCCTTGGGCTCTCCCTTCCGCTTCACACCATTTCTTTTCCAGGCTGAGCACATTGAATTTATTTACCCATAGTAAACTCCACAACAGCTGAGAATTTTGCTATGTGCCAGGCATCACCATAAGCACTGCTGATGCAGAGGTGCTGTTCATGGAGCCTACTTTTTGATCGTGGTGGTGGCGGTTGTGGTGATTGTCAATGATACAGTGCTTATAGTGGGTGGTAGGTGTTTCAGATCCTGTTAGACGCCACAGAAAAAAGAAACAGTAATGGAATGGAGAGTAACTGGGGCTAAGCGGAGGGAGCTATTGTAAAATCTAGCTGGTCAGAGATGAATTCTCTGAGGAAGTGACTTTGGAACTAACATGCGAATGAAGAAAAAGCCAGTCTTGTGAAAGCTCATCTTGCCTAATTGTTTCTCCATCCTGTCAAACCGTTTACAGGTTGTTTCTCATTTGTAGCCCTTTGCTCCTGCTGCTTCTGCTGCCTAAAACATCTCCCCTTCCCCTTCCATTTTTTTTGGCCAGCTCCTCCCTGCCTCTCATGTGACATGATTTCAAAATTCTTTAAGGAGTTAAGTACAGGGCTCTCATTCAAGATACACATCCCTGTCCTCAAGGAATTAATTATTTTTTAAATCAAGGAGATAGACAACAGCACTATGGTATGAAGCTGTTGTAGACATTTGCCAGAGGAGGACTTAGAGTGATCATACGTCAGGCTGAGGCATCAGAGAAGGCTTCTGTGAGGAGGTATTGCTTTATTCAAGGCCTAAAGGATGAGCAAGATTAGTCAGGAGAAGAGTGGGAGGTGGGACGATAATGCACACATTGGGAGTGGCGCGAGCAGAGGCCTATAGGTGACTGCATGACCTGCAGGTAGTTCACCTCGGCTAAGATGTGACTATGGAAAGGTAAGCAGGAGGCAGATCACAAAGAGCTTTGGGGGCAACAAAAGACTGTATAATATATAATTAGGAACACAGACTTCGGAATCTGAGTTACCTGTGTACCTATGCTGGCTTTGCCATTGAACTGGTTTTGAGACCTTGGGCAAGTCACTCCGTTTCTAAACTTCCGTATCCTCACGTGTAAGCCAACCTCCCAGGGTTGCTGTGAGAATTGAATGCTGTATGTTACCCACTTGGTGTTGGAGGGTGGTAAATCATAAACGGTAGCAGTTAATATTGCCATGCTAAGAAGTTTGGACTTTCTTGAAAGTGTGGTGTTGGAGAGTTGAGGCAGTGAAAGTTTAAAAAGGGGTGTGACATGCTCTCATCTATTTTAAATTACCTAGGCAGTTCCATGGTGATTACACTGGACAGGGCAGAGCCAGCAGGGAGACCAGTGAGGGCACTGTTGCTTTGGTCCAGGTGGCAGAGGAGGAAGGCCTGAACCAAGGCAGTGGCTGTGCGGACGGAGATGGATGCGTGGGTTTAAGGGCTAAAGGAAGTGGGATTTGCTGGACTGGTAACTGGATAACACCACATGGGGAGAGGAGGAAGATGAATTGGGATATGGGGGGTAGTGGGGATGGGTCCCATGTGTGGACGTAAGTAATAACAAAGTTCGTTGATTAGTGGTCCTTGATTGGTTATCCCTGACCTCCTCAGATTTTATTTAGAAGTCCAAATGGCCTCTTTTCTCCACTTTTACCCATGGGCAGTGAAGTTCAGAAATGCCTTCCTCGGGCGCCTGGGTGGCTCAGTTGGTTAAGCGACTGCCTTCGGCTCAGGTCATGATCCTGGAATCCCGGGATCGAGTCCCGCGTCAGGCTCCCTGCTCGGCAGGGAGTCTGCTTCTCCCTCTCCCACTCCCCGTTTGTGTTCCCTCTCTCGCTGTGTCTTTCTCTGTCAAATAAATAAATAAAATCTTTAAAAAAAAAAAAATGCCTTCCTCCTCCTTTTTTCTATCTCCCGATCCTTCTACCTATCTCTAGTGTAAGGCCTGATTGTGTATTCAAGGGAGAATAATGAGATACTGCTTTGTTACCCAGTAGACAGTATGCACCACCATGGTCTTGGCAGACCGGGTAACAACAACTCGGTGTCAGTCCAGCCCCAGATGATCACCTCTGGGGTTTTCTCACACCTTCTTTGTTGTGATTACCTTCCTTTGAACTTGTTCCTGTTAGACAGTCTCTCTTTAAGAGTGTGGTGTATAAAAGAAGATCTCTTTCCTCCAGGAGTCTGTCCTTACAGACCAGGGCTGTACTTTTTTTGTGATGATCTGAGCACTCCCATCCCCATCTTTGTTGTTGACACATCCTGCCCTTGACACTGTCACGCTGTGGACTCCTGGTGCTGCTTGGCACTCCTCATGTGTGTTTGGACAGCTCTCTTGCCCATCTCCTCCTTGTCTTTCAGATTTTCATTCCTCTTCCAGCTTCCTAACCTTGCCTTTGACCTCACGAAGTTGCAACCAGCGGTTAAGACTCCTCAACTGCTATAATTTACAAACTTGTCTCCAGCTGACCCTATCACTTTGCCTAATTCTGTGAAAGAAATACGTTTTGGGCTGATTCTTTTACCTGTGCTGAGATTCCATCTCCTCCTTTTCCTCAGGACCTGGTCCTATCATTTATTCCGTTTCTCTCCTGCTTAACTATCTCTTCTCATTTAAATATCTGGAAAAAACCAAACACCTTCCCATTAACTTCTGCCATCAGGCCATCACGCCACCTCTTCCCATCCACATTTCTTGACTTCCTGAAGTCATCATTCGCTAAAATCCTGCTTCCACCCACTCGTCCTCCAAAATTGCTCTCCCTAGTCTTCACACCTCCATGTTACCAAAACTCTTGAACATTTTTCCTTCCTTATCTTTTGAATTCTGAGCACATCTGATATTGCTGATATTCCTTCACTTACGAAAACCACTCCTGCTTTGTGCTATCTCTCTGGCTGTTTCCCCCTGTATGCACTGTGGACTTTTTTCCTCCTTTTGTCCCTTGAATGCTAGTTTTCGCCAAGGCTCTGCCTTATACTCTGTGCTCTTCTAACCCACAACTTCAATTCCCATTTATATGCCAAAGACCCCTGTTCTGTATCCTGAGCTGGGATCTCTCCTGAGGGCCAGCCCTCAAACTCAGTGACTCCAAAATGAAGCTCATCAGCTTCCCTCCAAAGCTACAGTTCTTTCTGCATCCTTTATTCTGACCCATTCTCCTCCTTCCATTTAGTCATTCAAACCAGAGCCTTGGAGTCATCCTGGACTTTTCCTTCTCATCCCATCCCAGGCAGTCATCAAAGTTCTACAGATTCTCCTTCCTTGATATCTCCTGACACATTTACTCCTCCATTTTCTCTCCCACTGCCTTAGTCTGGGCTCTTCTCACTTCTTGCCTATATTCCTGCATGACCACTGAGCTGCTTGCTCTGTCTGGCGCACACTGGTGCCAGAGTGCCCTTTCTAAAATACAAATCTTTGCCAAAATACAAAGCCCTGCTTTGCAGTTTAATTTAGATACCCCTCCTTCCTCCTCCCATAACACCCTGCACAAACACATACCATACTGTAAGGCATTTGTTTTATCCACAAATTGCTATCCTATCATTCCTGGTCTGTGTAACCCTCAAAACTTAGATCCTAAAATGCAAAGACCTTAGCTTTTTTGCCATTGAATGCTGAAATATAGCACAGGAACTTGTACATGATAGAATGTTTATTGAAGGAATAACTAAATGGAAATCCCCCTGTCTTTGACACATGTTTTGTTGGTAACATTGTTTTTGAGTGCCTCCTGTGTCAGGTACATGCATTTTCTAGTTGAATCCTCACAGTGATTCTGTACAGCAGGTGGTGTCCCATCTTATAGGTGGGTGTGATTTCTGTGTCTGTTTCCCTGCTCTAAACCCCTAACACAGGGTTTAGCACACATGACATACTTAGTAAATATTGATGAATATTCATTCACACAGATATATAAAAATAAATTGGGCAGGACCAAAGACTGAGCCAATGACTTATCACTATTAGCTCCTTTCTTATTAACATCAGTTTCTTATTAACATCAGTTCATACCTTAAC